AAAAAAAAAAGGATTGGACTCCTCCTACAACCCACACACTTTGGGTAGTGCTGGGAATTGAGCCCAGAGCCTCTTTCACACTAAGGAAGGGCTCTACCACTGAGCTATACTCCCAGCCCAAGATATAGGACTTTTGAATATGGACAATCCTATGATTTTAAATAAGTATTGACAAATTGGGTCCTCAAATGTCCTCTACATACTTTTTGGTGTTGAGTTTTATATATTGGGGGGGCAAGTTTAATATGTAGGAATGATAACTAATGATTCTTTAAATTTTCCCCCAGTAATGGGGATTGAACCTAGGGGCACTATATTATTGAGCTACATCCTCAGCCTTTTTTCTTTTCAAACAGGGTCTCCAAAATTGCTGAGGCTGGCCTTAAACTTGCCTCCTGAGTTGCTGGGATTATAGTTGTGTGCCACCATGCCCAGCATACTTTCTGAATTTCAAACCATGTGACTATATTACATATTCAAAAATAATCTGAAAATTAAAATCACCCCTAGGACTAAAATTTTATAAACACAAATATCTAGCAATTTTCATAATAGTATGATTAGGCTATATATGAAAAACTTATAAAGAAATCTTATATAGGTTGAGTATCCCTTATTCTTGAGATCAAGAAGTATCTCAGACTTCAGAGTGATTTTGGAACATTTGCACAGCCTTTACTGGTTGAATATCTATCCCTAATCTGAAATGCTCTGGTAAACATCAACATAGCAATCAAAGTTTTCAATTTGGGGGTATATTTGGATGGCACACACTGTCCTAGACAGGCTTCAGGTTACTTGGAACCTTTTTGGAATATGGTCAGGGGTTGAATGAATTCAATACTTTTTGCCTCTGCCTGATTCTTTCCTTTGATAAATAGGATGCTAAATGTAGGGGCATTGAAAATATTCTGCTGGAAGCTGAGCAGTGTGGTACTTAGGAAAAAGGGTTTTCATTTCCCATTCTGCACAGGTTTTTAGACTTTATGGAATCAATTTCCTGGAGATGAACTAAGAAAGTGATTCTGAGTTCTTTCATTTGTTACTAATTTGTTCTCTCATTTTGAGTCTAAACCTAATGTAAAGATGGCAAAAACTTTGAAAATTAGCTATATATACTTTATAGAAGTATGGGTGAACAGCAAACATACTTAATGGTGAAAGATTAGAATTGTTTTCTTTTGGTGAGCATGGTGGCACCCA